CCCCTAAACCCCTACACCATAAACTCCTAAACCCTTAACTGCTAAACCTAAAACCCGAACCCCTACACCCCTAAACCATAAACTCCTAAACCCTTAACCCCTAAACCCAAACCCCTAAACCCCTGAACCCCAAAGCCCCTAAACCCTAAACCCTAAACCCCTAAAGAGCCCAAGAGGCACTCCCGGTCACAGTAGCAAACCTGCACTTGCTCTCTCATTGGCAGCCTTCCTCAGCTACACGGCCATAATGTAGTGATAATGGAAAAGAAAATGGAAACCACTTTAATATGGTTATTTAGGGTTTAGAGTTTAGGGTTTAGGGTTATATATAGGGATAATGGAAAATTAAATGGGAACTACTTTATTATATAGGCTATATATTGGGGGTATATAGGGAGAATGGAAAAGAAAACGGAAACTACTGTTTAGGGCTTAGGGGTTAAGACCCCTGATTAATAACCCCCCGCTTTTAAGGGCCTTAATATTAAGATCCCTACTAGAATCCCAATTACCTGGATGTTTTTGTTTATCAGGGGTCTACATTACCCAGGCAGCACACACGAAATGAGATCACAGAAGTTAAATCCTGGTGGCCAAGGAGGCTGGGATCTTCCCAGAACTTGTAGTCCCGCCTGTCACCTAGCAAGATGGCCAGCACCAAACCAAGACACTATCCGTATTGCTACGGGGTCTATGGTATCACATTCACTCATCCAAACAAAATAGTGTGCAGAGCTTGGGTGGTGCCAGCCTCCCATACGGTACGTTCCAGGATCTATGAGAACCCCATCGGCATCATACTTCGGAGGGTGGAAAAACAGCAGCTCGCTGACCTCAGGTGCGCTGAACGAGAAACCAGGCAATACAATGAATCGATGAAAGAGTAAACTTTCAAGGGTTCGAAGTTCTGAACAACATCTTGGCAGGGGCACTGATTGGTTGTAAGGCATGCTGCGGGAACATCTGGCCTGCAAGGGATTTGAGCTGTCAGAAGCAACTGTCGCCCAACAGACCCTGGTGAAGATGCTCAGTTTCGTCACGAAGCAGCAATTGGCCGGCATTCAGACTTCCCAAGTGCGCATCCTTGTAGAGCACGGCCCGCTATCAGCCCCGAATAAGCAGTTGGTCCCAGTCATCCTACTAATCCACAAGCAACTGGTTTTTACTTCCCCCACCTTATTGAACTCCTGGGAAACCCTTCTCGGGGAAACCCGGGCCCTAAATCTACAACACTAAATCCTAAACCCTCATACCTTACTTGGAGGGTCACGGGGACTGAGTAAGTGGGTTAATAAGCGGGAGAAGTAGGGTTCAGATGTGGGTTATAAAGGCTATCAACCTAATTACTTACTAAGTCCCCCTGACCGTCCAAGTAGTACTAGAGAGAGCGGAAAAAAAGAGGAATCTTCCGTAATAGCTGGCCCAGCAGCTGCGTCCCCGGCGCGGCATCGCGAGTTCGGATCCCAAACCTAAGTTGCTATTACCCATATTCAAGGTACGCTTTAAAAGGTTAAGTTGTGTAGAGTTGCGGATAAACTTACCATAACGAAGAATCATATACAAAAAACCACGAACTGGAAACTGGCGTTGCATAGGGAGTTGAGGAACTAAGATTAAGCTATCATTATGATGACACCATGAAATTGAAAATGTATCCCTATTGGGCTAACTTGATTTCAGATCTTTCCAAAACTGCAACCGGAAACCGGAAGGTTCGTGATGGCTTCTCCCATCATGCAGAAGGAGCACGTTCCTGGTAGAAACTTGATCTGATTCCTTGGTTTCTGGTCGCAGCAGCACAAGTCAACCAAACTGAAGTAAGATCCTCTTAGGGTGCAACCGCCATAGTCCGCAGGAACACAAACCATCATTTGGGTTGAGGTCAGGCAAGGTCACTATAACTTGCCCAAATGGACTGGACAGAAGAACCCTCGCAAACAAAAAAAAAAATCATTGACGGGAACACAGACAGCTATGCTGGAGAATTGTGTGACCGTTCCTGGTCACATACACTGCAGGACAAGTCGCTCCAAGCTTCCCGAACATGAGCTGCCACCCGGCGGGCACTGCAGTCGCAAAGAAAAAGGCTGCTGCGGCAGCACCCGCATGAAGGGCTCATTGACCTGGATCTTCGCTAGCGCAGCACAAAACATCGACGATTCTACGGGAGCTGCTGTGAAGCAATAGCATACCCCGTTGAGGTCACAAATGTCCATGTATCATATATCATCAAGATTTTGTTGCATTACCAAAGGGTTTTGGTAAGGAGGACTTATCTTCGCATGCACCAGCTCTTAGTTTTTCACTTGTCAACGCAATATAGATATAGTCAGAGCAATGCTGTTCATTGTACAGAGCAATAGCTTTTACACTTCTGTTGTAAGCACGTAAATTACGACAACAGTGGTAGTAGCCGTCATCGTAGTTCGTCGTAGTAGCCGAAACAGTAGTACTAGTACCAGGTATAATTCTAGTTTTTGATATGGGGAGAGTTGAAGTTTTGGGGGGGGAGGCACTAAGCAAAGCCAATGAATTCCATTGTCTATTTGACTTTCCACCTCATTCTCCATGGGTACTGCTTTGAGTGAGGTCAGCAAAACTAAACAAAAACTACACGTGGAGTTTTCCTCCTAAACCCTAAACTTACAGTTGTCCCTAACCTAAACCCCTAAACCCTATGTACCCTAAACCCATTTCCTCTCCCAGCAACTACGCCGCAGGATGCAGTGCTGCCCACATCGCCTGTGCTGAAGTACCGGCAATACATGTAGGGGCCAAAATAGGCCTCTAGGGGTAGATTATACAAGTATGATGTAAGGATGTACGGGGTGGAGAGGCTAAAATAGCAAAATACCAACGACAAAAATGACAACAGGAATGAGGCCTTTGGGGAAAGATTGTACGATTATCATGCGCCGAGAATTTCCTGATCCAAAATACCCGACCCCAACGCGGCAGTATTCTTATTGATAGTACTCGCCATTATAATCACAACTGTAGCTCACGAGTAGAAGTAGAGTTACCAGTACCACTGGCGGAGTAGCTGAAATCATCCTTAGAGGTGGTACTGCTTAAGCCCTTAGCCACGACACATTCCACTACTGCTGAAGAAACAAGTGGCAAACCCGCAGCAGCCAGTAGTACAGCACGCCGATGGGCTGGATGAACTCGCTGGCCTCAAGCAAAACCCAGAACGCAGGATGAACTCGCTGGCCTCAAGCAAAACCCAGAACGCAGACCCGTTCCACGGAGGGTTCTGTGCATGTCTGTGCGCAAAATGCAGCACCACAATTTGGCCATGAAGGTCTGTAGAAAAGTATGGGTCCCCAACGCAAGCAAAACCAGGAGTATATTCCATTGGTAGTATGTGCAGGGATCCCACTTTTGAGAAATTCCTATTTGATGGTAGCTCAGCAGGTGCCAAGGGACATGATCACAGGGATCGTTCGTGGGGTCCACCGGACCATCATAGCTGGGACAATAGCACATTGACAGAGTGAAGCTGTCAGTGGCAGCAGTGCGTCGCAGCCGGGGCATCTCCATCGCAGTGAAAGCATCTGTGATGAAGCCCATCCCTGTTGGAGGGGCCCAATCAAAGTCATCGAAGATTGCCATTTCTGGTGCTATGTACTCAGCAGTCACCACATCTGAACATCGCTTTCGAGAAGCTGGGATGAGCTCCCCAAACAGAAAAGTGTCTCGGCCCCAAGCAGCAGTCCAAGCTGATTTGCTGGACGAAGCAGACTCCACAAAAAAGCCCTCACGGCCACCGCCGAACGCACGGAAATCCACCAAGCAGTTGCTAATGTCCTCCCCGAAGTAAGAAACGTAGCAATCCCAACGTTCGTCTGCAAGACAGCCATCGCCCAAACAGGCCGATGCAACTCCAATCACACGTATATCCACTGGCACGATCGCGTTCAGAAACTCGTTGCCCGTCATACTACCATCTGGGCTGTAGCACATCCTGTAGTACCCGCCATTCATGAACGTCACATGTGGAAAAATTGTGGAAGCTCCGAGTTCGGTGGCATCAGCTGTCTGTGTGCTCAGCCTCAACAGCCTGTCGCAGTCTCAGCGACTATGACTACTACAATTGTTCTTACTACATATTCTTGCTAGGTCTGCCAAACTCTTATTGCCTTTTCTTCTCTTATCAGTTTGGGACTCCACCATTGCTTTCCTACTCTCACTGCACTCTTCAGCAACAGAACTGCCATGTCTGTTCTTGCATTTTTGGCTGTCATTCCAAGACCCTAAACCTTTGATGGCATGGCACCTTCCCTCCGCCAGGGCTGATGGACCGAAGGTAGGCAGAGTCCTCGCTGCAAAGTGAAGCCCTTGCTACGACATGGACGTTGAGTTTTAGCGTCTCAGTTTTAGGTCGGGATCGTACGGAGGTCTGGGCTGGCGTTTCTACTTGTTGGCAACACTTACTTCGCTAAACATCCAGCCTAGGACCCTAAAACAGTAGCTGGAGATGTCCTACTGTTGGTAGATCGGGGCAGTTGCCAGGGAGATGAGTTTCTTCCAAAGCAAATCAAAGGCATCAAAGCTGCGACGAATTGGGTACCAGCGCCATGGGCACCGTGTAGGATTGCCTGCGAAAGCGTACTCACTCTAGGTTGGGAATAGGTTAACGGGTCATAGGGACCGGTATAGTTAGGGATGATTACGAAGGAATTGTGTAAGGACGCTTCCCCGCTTCCCAATTAAGCATAAGTGGGAAGAGGCAGCAGCACCTCCTACCATACAGCACAGGGCAAAGGAATCAACGTAACAGCCACCACCATCACTCTGAAAAAACTGTTGACAAGGACCAAAGCGAGAGAAAATTATGAAAGGCAAGAACTACCATGGAAAGACTGCATGTAGGCTGCCTGGAACAGGCCTCGCGCTCCATGAGACTGGAATCCACCAGCTTCAGGACAGCCTGCGCCAGGCGCGACCATGATACGCACTACAAAACCTTAAATACTAAATGCGAATTGCGCCCATTACGGGACACCAAGGCTATCTATAAGGACTAGAATGTGGACTATACGAGGCAGTAGGACATTACCTGGTTATCACTTGGGTTTCCCTAGCAAAAATACTCGTTATATACCCAACACGTACCCAATCATCGTAGTTTCCCTTTTCTCTTTCATTACCCCTATATATCCCTGTATTCCACATACACACCCATGCCATCCCCATGTATCCTTATATCATCCCCATATATCTCTATACAATCCCCCTACATCCCTATATGTTCCCCCCATACGTCCTTACATGATCCCTATAGACCCTGAGGCTCCTTTGCTTCGACTCAGGACAGCCGGCCTCCTGGTGATCGATGCCAAACTGATACTCAACTGGAACCGACACAGAGACCATGCTGTACCTTAGGGCCTTAGGGGTTAAAAACTTTTGGGGGCCTGTTGGGTTGAGGGCTTTGGGGTTCAAGGTTATATGAAAATATCTAAGGATCTGATCTATGATCTACGTCCATGCAGCCACCAAAACAGGGTCTAAAAATGCAAAAATTGCAAACAGGTTGCCTGTAGCCCGCCAACAGAACCATGAATGTGGAAGCTGCCCCGCTGCCAAAAACAAAATCCTGTCCATGGGCATGCACCGGGCGTTTCGTTGTTGCAGTGAAGGCGAGGCGTAGAAGAGGATAAAGCAGGACATCTCAAGCCCCAACACAAGCACCAGCTACTGCTGCTACTGCAACTGTGGCTGCTATTGCCAAAGCACTACCTCTGCCACTGTATATTGGGGTAATATTGGGATAATGGAAAAGAAAATGGAAACTACTATAATAAAATAGGGTTTGTTTTGAAACAAATCGGAAACTATTATGGCATAATAGGGGTATATACTGCTAGTGTAAACCGTCCGCGTAGCAAAAGGGTACATACAAGCAATGGGCAGAGCAACCGCTGCAAAAACCAGTCTTCTAAGGTTGAAACCATGGCCCCTAGTATGGGCCCTTAGCCATGGAATCCTTATATACCTACTAAATATACCCTACATGTACCCTTGAGGGTTCCTAGGATCTCCCTGAAATGCCTAAGGACCCCTCTTAGGGGCCCATACTTCTAACCTTCCAAATCTCCATGTCATCGTTCATCTGCTTGCCCATTTGATTCTCCATTGTTACTCTTGTGTCGGTTGTACTGCCTAAATAGTAGCCTTCATCTTCTTTCCCATTAATTCTATCCCCCCTATTTATCCCTGACATTCGCCCTTGCATCCCACTGTATTGTAATGCTACAAACAGTGCAGAGCTCATCCAGCGCCTGTAGCGGGCTTTGGAACTGCAGCCGTGTTCCAGTGGGGAACTCCCATCCCTGTCCAATAAGCACATGCAGCTAATATTGGTGTTGCTTGGGATATAAATACGGGTTCTACAGGGATTACATTGGAGTTGTACTGGGGCTTGGTAGGGGTGATATGGGCAACATTGGGCTGCATAGAGGTTTTATTGGAGGATACATAGGGGTTAAGATTTCAGATGTCCCTTTGGGGGCGCCTATAATCAGGACTGCATTATCTCTGCGGTCATATCTATTAAGTAAACTCTCAGAGAGGTCTCAAAGCTTAGGGGTTGAGACAGGCTGCAAGCTCCCATGGCTTACGCATTTAAGGATCTAGGGTTTAGGTTTAGGAGTATACGGGGGACCGATCAAGGATGTTCTGTGATTTATATTTGGCTGGTCGGGCCTCGTGCATAAGGTTTGAGGTACAGGGTTTAGGGTTCACGATTGATTGGTCTGTGGCTTACGCTTTAGGGTTCGAGATTGTCGGTCTGGCGTTTGGAACTCTTGTTTTGGGGCAGAGGTCTTAGGGTTGAGGAATTTTGGTGTAGGGGTTAGGGTTCAGGATTCTGGGTTTGCGGTTCAGAGCTAGGGTTCAAGAACAGCCAGGAGTTTCTTTGATTTTGCTTCAGGGATCCCCAGAATCAGGAACTTTCTTCTTGGGGACATCTTATCAGGACACCAGTGAGAAGAGCGCGGGGGAAGATTGCTCTTAGCACTCATGGTCGTCCTCTTCTCAATAGTACCAATGCTAGAAGTTCTCATGCTCGCCAGCCATTGCCGTAACACCTACGCGTCCCCGATTCACTTCTTTAGGTTGGTGTGGTGGCATTCAAAACCGAACGGGCCCATAACCATATCTCAATCAGGAGTTCCCCATGTATGGACCACCCAGTTCCTAAACTAACAACACTACACCCTAGACCCCCAGCAACAATCCGGAACCCTAAACCCTGAACCCCAAACCAACAATCCGAAGCCCTAAACCCTAAACCCCAAACCAACAATCCGGAAACCTAAACCTAAACCACAAATCCCAAACCTACAATCCGGAACCCTAGACCCCAATCGAAGCCTAAACCCTCAACCCTGAACTTTAAACTCTCAACCCTAAGCCCTAAACTCCACATCCTAAACCCTGAACCCGAAACCCTAAATCCCAAACGAAGCAAAAGCTGTCCTCCTCAGGAATGATGGGATCTTGCTGTTGCTCTGCATCCTGAAGTTGCCGCACGACCTCAGGGTTTGTGGGGGTTTCCTAAAATTAAGGGGTTTAGGGTTCAGGGTTTAGGGTTTAGGGTTTGTGGGGGCTTCCCAAAATTAAGGGTACCTCGAAAGGGGTTTATAGGGGGATATATAGGGTTAAGGGTTTACTGAGAGATATGGGAAACCAAGGGTTTAGGGTTTAGGATTCAGGGGTACCTCTACAGGGGCTTACAGGGGGGTTCTATAGGGGTTATATAGGGTTAAGGGTTTAGGGTTTAGGGGTTTCCCAAAATTGGGGGGGTCCCTATAATAAGGACTATAGTATTTGGGGGTCTATCTTGAGGCACCCTAATTTTGGGAAACTACCTTATGGGTTTGGCACTTTAGAGTATAGGGCTGGAGGGTTTGGTCAGGGTTTAGGGGTTTGTTAGTGTATAGGTTTTTTGCGAGGGTTTAGAGGTTTATGGTGTGGGGCTTAAAGTTTAGGATCCAGTGCGTAGGGTTTGAGGGGATGTGGGCTTCTGTCCAGGGGTCCATGAAAGAATTGCAACTGCTATGGAAATCAGTGTAGGTAGATTGCTACATACAGTTACAAGCAGTGGGTGCCCACACATAATTTCGACCATATGCATACAAGCCTTCATGTTAAGTGTAAGGCAATATTACAACATGCTAATTGCGTCATTGCTTTCCAAAAATGGGGGTTGCCTTTGGCATCTTCACTATAGCAAGACTCTTCGCTGATTTGTATGGAACTCCAGGTGGGGCTTCAGGGTGCCATAGCGCCCTTCATTCCCCATTCCTGGCACTGAGCCATATCTTTCTGATCTGAGGCTTTCCATCCGATGCAGTGGTCTGATCAAGAAGATTACCATCTGGTCCCAGATTCAATGCCTCAATTGTGACAACCTACCACCTGACATCCGCAAACCAGCTTAAGCCGATATCAAAGGTAACCTCTGTTTAGCAGATGAGCTACAGCCTAAACTCCTAGTATCCCCTTTAATAAGCCATATAATACTCCCCTATACAACCCAATTTAAGGAGTTTAGACCATAGCTCAGATGGGAGAATACCAGAGCTAGGTTTTGGAAGCTCAGAATAGAGGTTGCGCCTGCGCCTGTCCTGCTTCTCCATGAAGCTCTGAAAAAACCCTGCACCGTCACGCAGGTCTGTGTGGCGCAGTCCCGTTACAACGTTGAAACTCCAAATTGAGAGAGGCCGTCACTGGGCAGCAAATCTGCAAATTGGACAAAGCTTGCCTGCCTTGGTTCATCCTCTTGCGTCGCCTCACAGGACTTGCGGGAGCAGGGGTGCTTTCGGAGATTTGCTGAATTGGCCAGCTGTATGGGACACGCAGGTGTTGGGCCATATCTTGCTTCTTGCTCTTTCAGCTGTGCAGCATGCTTCAGTCAGGAGTGGCAGTTGCAGGTTGCCAGTTCTGGCACCGAAACCGCAACTCAAAGACTTGAAAACACTTCAAATCCAAGGGCATCCCTGATTTGGGATGTACGCCTACAATGCGGGCACTGTAAGTGACCGAAGCCTGTTTTAGCCAGTACGGTCGGGAGCTCTGCCAGGTTTTGCCTGCAAATGCGAACGTCGGCCGGCTGGGGTCACAAAACACATGCACAAACGACTAAACTGCGCTATATAGGGATAATGGAAAAGAAAATGAAAACTACTATGTAGGGTTTAGGGTTTAGGGTTTAGGCATTCTGCGTGCCCATGCCGCGCAAGTAGAACTCTCTGGCACATAAACACTGCCTGTCAGTCACGGGCAGCTCTCAGGTTGGGAGGTCAATCACTCTCGTGACTCTGGTAGCTGCTGCAGAAGGCAGCATCTAACTCATTGACCTTGTCATCATAGACCTGGGTTGCTGATAAGGAGCTTAACTTAAGTTACTCTATTTGGGAAACGCTACCATTTACCATATATACCCATTATGGTAGCTTAACTTAAGTTCCTTAACGGCAACCCAGAGACTGCAGGGCTGATACCGCAGCAGAAGCCAAGAAGAGGCTCCTCAGAATTGTCCTCGAAATTTGAGGTTTAGGGTTTTAGGGTTTAGGGGTTTCCCAAAATTAGGGGTACCTCTACAGGGGCTTATAGGGGGTTATATAGGGTTATATAGGGTTTTAGGGTTTAGGGTTTTGGGAAGTAAGCAGCTCGCCTTTTCCGGTGCAAACATGCTCGCGCGAGCCCATTAGGGCTTGACAACTAGGACCTCTCTGAAAACTTCACAACTAGGACCTAGAGTGAACTTAAGTAGATAGAACACGTGGTATTCGGGTATACTATCTACTTAAGGGGACTATACAACCAAAAGCTATCAAGCCCTAAACCCTTTTTTTTGAGCTGAAAAACGCACAGAAGCGATTAGCTTGAAATCCCAAACCCTAAACATTATACCTTGGGTACTGCCCCCCCCCCTCACTAACAGTTGGATAATAGATATATTATGGATATATGTAGCCCTGGATAGGACCCCTAATATAGACTGTTACTGGGTGGGGGCAGTACCCAACTTATACCCTAAACCAACCAGAAGTCCTCAATCACTTTCGACAGGCTGTGGGGCTCCTCAGCACCAGCCCTTGGCTTGGAATTAGCTGCAAGACCTGTAGCACCCCAACTGAGTAGTGTATTTTTTGGTGGTTGAACCTAGTACGATAATATTCCTTACATAAAATACTCTACCCCGAAAGGAGGATATAATCTTAGTCTATAATGGGTACCATAGTATCCCCAGATAAAATACTACTCAACTCACAATCACTTACTTAGTTCTTAGTAGGGGATACCTTTACAGGGGATTATAGGGGTTATGTAGGGATAAGAAAGGTAAAATAGGGGTTGCAAAAAAGGTTATGTACATATTGGGCTTAGGATTTCCCAAAATTAGGGCGACCATGTTGGGTCCCAATCAGAAGGACCATAGTATTTTGGGGTCTATATTGGGATCCCTCCATTTATGGAAACTACCATTTAGGACTAAACCCTAAACGCTACACCCTAAACCCCTAAGCCCTAAGCCCTAAACCCTAAACCCTTAAGCAGCCCTTTTGCAGTGAGGCATCTCAGCTTCTGAAAGGGCAGATGTCACACACCCGAAGACCAGGAAAGAAGCGGCAACAATACTCACAGCACCTGAATCTGGTCCCTTTTGGGGGTTTAAAGTTTAGGGTTTAGGGAGCGTTGTGGCGTTGTGTTCTTTGTTGCCCTTTAATTAAAACAAAAAACAATAAATATCTCGAACATTGACTTTGGAATGCCATGAAAACACATCGCAGGCTACAAGCAAACCAGCCGACCGTCCGGAATACTTGCATAAGCACTACATTATCCCAGTTTCCTCTTGATTTCCCATCTTGTTGTCCATTTGGTTCTCTATTGTTATGTGGACTACACAAGACCCTATACATACCTACATAACTCCGACAGACTCAGCAAAATGGATCCTATGCATGTCCAGGGCCCCTGCCGTAGAAAAGCGTTTGAGCCTCACTTGCAGCTGTACAAGCGGCAATCGCATCCATCACCTTAACTTGAACGTCTGGATTTAAGCGGCTCCTAAGAATGAGGCTCCTTGCTTGCAGGCATGTCTGATGATACTGTAGTGCATTTGAGGTCTGTGTTGGGGCCCCCGAATCGTGGAAATCTCCACTTCAGTGTTGGTCAAAGTCGCAACCTCCCAACAAGAAAGCTGTAAAAGCGTGCCAAGACCGTGCAGAATCCTTACTTCAAGTCCCAAGAACCAAAGTTTCCGCATGGTACTGTAATACGAACTGTGCAAGAGAAACCCCGAAGCTCCGGCTGAAACCTGATTCTCTTACCCCAAGCCCAAGAATTTCGGACCCCCTGGCTCCTATATCTTAAACCACCCCACAACCCTCGAGGCCTAAATGCCTGAACACAATATAACCCCAATATTACCCCAATGTTACCCCCCAATATATATAAACCCTAAACCCTAAACCCTATACTAGTTTCCATGTCATTTTCCATTATCCCCATATGACCCCTATATAGTCCCTAGAACCCCTATATAACCCCAATATATAATCCCTGTAAACTCTGCAGTTTCCATTTTCTTTTCCATTTTCCCAATATAACCCTAAACCCTAAACCCTAAACCCCAAACCCTAAACCCTAATATTACCACATATGAATCATTTAACACGCAAACAGACTCTGTGAAGCGTCCAAGAGACCACCTGTGGCAGGAGTGGACCGAAGGATAGGCCAATGAAGTTATTGGCTCCTGAAGGTTCAGGGGTTCAGGGGTTTCGGGTTTAGGGATTATTTAGGGATTTAGGGTTTTAGGGTTTTAGGTTTTTAGGGTTTTAGGCTTTTAGGGTTTCAGGGTCTCGGGTTGAAGGTTTAGGGCTTTAGAGTTCTAAAAATTTAGGGCTCTAGGGTCTTGGGGTTTTAGGGTTCAGGGTTCAGGGTTTCGGGTTTAAGATTTGGGGTTCAAGGCTTGGGGATTTTGGATTGTGAGTTTTGGGCTGAAGATTTTTAAGGTTTTGGGTGGCGGCCACTGAATGGACCCACCATTTTGGGATATGTACGCATCTATAGGAACTAAATGGAACAGGAAATGGATTACGTAGGTTTGTATGGGGTTTCGGGGTAGCTTTCTTTCGTGGTTGAACCAAGTGAGTTTACATTCTTCTTAGACAATTAAAAACATAAAAGGAACGATCAAAACACTACATAACCCCTTCATATTCCCAGCTTCCAGGTCATGTTCCATCTGACGTTAAACTCTGGGGAACCTCAATAGACCCTGTTCCTTTGGGGTTTAGGGGAATCTTTTCACATGTACAAACATGCAGTGCATAGGCTGTAAGATTCGGATAAGTTTGGGTAGTTGAACTACAGGCAGCAGTCCAACTCTGGCCGCCAAAAAATTCAGGGAATTCCAGGACAAGAGATGCCAACCCCCTAAATCATCCACTCATCCCTAGCTAACACCTTCATGAACCTTACATAAACACGATATAGTCCCCATAACGCCTGTATAACCCTATATGATACATGTTCTTTGTTCAAAAACTTCCCACCTTGCACGATGCCGATCCCCAAGCTTCGCACTTTTTCGTTCTCAACCGCATTATTGCATACAATCCTTGGGTCTTGCCAGGGTACGGAGTGTCGAGGGAGCTTGGAGTTAGGTGGCAGGTTTAGGGTTTAGGATTTCCGGGTTTAGGGGTTTAGGGCAGCATACTACATGCCCTAGATGATGCTACTGCAGACAGGCAATGCTTACTGGGGGCTAGTAGGAAATAAGTGGAGTAGATTATACAAGGATAATTTTAGAATTTCTCCTCTTCCCTACTAACCCTAAGACCTGAACCCTATATTCCCTACTAACAACCCAATAAGGGTGGTCATCCTGTTTGAGCACTTCCCTTAGCACCTCAGCAACCATGGAGGTCACATGTGATTAAGGGCTCTGCACCTGCAGAGTATAGGGTTTAGGGCTTAGGATTTAGGATTTAGGGTTTAGGGTTTAGGATTTAGGCTTTAGGCTTAGGGTTTAGGCTTGAAAGCTCTCCAAGCTACTGAATGAGGCCAGTGGTTGCCGCCAGGCCCATGCAGAGTATAATGATTCCACCCCAGGTCAGAGCCAAAGTTGTCAAAGCATACGGCTCCATCTGAAGCAATTGGAGAAGCAATCCTCGCAGCATAATGTAGACCCGTGATTAATAGACCCCGTCCTTTTAAGGGCCTAATGAGAGGATCCCTATGATAATCCCTATATAGCCCCCAATAATGCCTATATATTCCCTAGTTTCCATTTCATTTTCCATTTTCTTTTCCATTTGATTCTCCACTATTGGGGTTATCATCCCCATTAGGGGGAGGGGGTTTATTAATCAGGGGTCTTCAAACCCTGAACCCTATATAACCCATTATAATAGTTTCCATTTTCTTTTCTATTATCCCTATACATCCCCAAAATGAAGCATGAAGCATGGGTATCCCTACCCCTAAACCCTAAACCCTAAAGCCATCCTCGTCTGGGTTACCAAGCACTCCGGCAGAATGACTTGAAATTACAGATTTGGGTTCGCAAAATTATGGACCTCTTGTGGGAGTCCCCGCAGTAATCAGCGGTAGGGGCTGTAATGATAGGAGTATCTGAGTCCCCCTAGAAGTTACAAACACCTATTTGAGCACAAGCAACCTGCGACTGTCACCAGCGCACCGGCACATGCGACCGCCGTGGCTTTCCGTAGGAAAACAAGGATGCGGTGCATATCCTTTCCTTCTTCTAAGTTGCTGCTGAACGTGACTCCAATAGCTCCGCCTGGCCCCATGGGATGCTTGAGGTGCTGCATAGAACCAGGCATCAGTGCCATCTATAACTTATTGTTTCTTAGAAGGGAATAAGGGAACACAATCCCTACACAGTCCGAAAAGATGTTCCCTTATTCCCTGCTACGAACTGCAATCGACTCGAGGGCACAATCTGGTCAAACTCAACACCAGTCCTGCAATCAACCACATTTTCTTTAGTCTTACCCCATATACTCCAAGTTTACGTGTCCTTGTCCATTGTATTTGCCATTTGTCTCTCCAACAACCAGTCTAAGGCAGCAAACCCTGAATAATATGGTACCACATTACTCTCAATTCTGGCTTCAGCATGAGTACCTAAACCCTGAACCCAAAACTGCGTAATTCGGGTTCAAGGTCTAGGGCCAAGGAATCTCTGCCCTGGGATGAAGAGAGATTTTGATGCAAATGGGCAAGATGAAAATAGAAATGAGATGGAAGCTAAGGGATATTCAGGAACTATATGCAGAGTCTAGGGATTATAGAGACTCAAATGGTAAGGAAACGTGGAAAATCAAAGGCAATCTGGGAGTAAATAGGTTTGTACGGTGTATGGGTTTAGGTTTAGGGCAGTATGCATTTTGATGGTCGAACCAATTTAGAGTATCTTGTTCTGACTATAGCCTAAGTTCGAGAGTAGACTCTTACTCTATACTGGGGTTTCAAGCCAAATGCAAACCCGTGATGTTCTGACATATCGCTTCAGCAGACTTGCAAGGGAGCAACCGCAATCAAAAAAACAGGTATCACGGAAGTAAGGGTCATTCTGACTCATTGCAAAAGACGCCATCCCAACATAGGGGGACCCCAATCTAGACCTAAAACGGCCAGAGTCCTCATTTTAAGGAGCCCCCCAAAATGCAACCCTAAACCCCAAGCCCTAAACCCTGTACCTTTAGTTCAGGAAACTCCCATATGGGTTTAAGCATGGAAAGAGGACAGGGCTGGCCTCCGCCGGTAATTGCAAGGAAGCTCACCACAGCAATCCTAGGTTCAGGGTTTAGGGTTGAGGGCTTGGGGTTTAGGGCTTAGGGTTTAGGGTACTTTGGGAGGCTAACTCTCTCAAGGTTTGGACACCTGCCCCAAGCATGCACCGGGGGAAAAAATGAAGTATGATAGGCCCCAAAATGCACCCATAATGTCCAGAAAGCCGCAAGTACTTTATTTGCCTGGGTCTGGGATTTACGATTTGGAGGTTCAGGGTTTTGGGGCTCGGTACCCAATCACATGAGTCAAAGAAACTGCTTCTGCATCGTCCAGAGTTGGACGAACAGACGAATCCAAAGAAAGGCGAGACCTGCATGCATCTACTGGGTCACTATTGAGGAACTTGAATTAAGTTACCATAATATGAGTATTTAGTAAACAGATGAGCTTTCTTATTAGTGTTACTTAATTCAAGTTCCTTAACAGCAATCCAGTCTAAGACTTCCTCCGCCCACTCCGAGTTTTCACCCTAAACCCTCACTTACAGGTGAATAGTAGGGAATAAGGGAATTTTTGACATAAGGATTATATTGGAGCTATGTTCCCCAGTAAGCTGAACCCTTTCTGCATCCAGCCTGTGAACCGACAAAAAAGCCCATGACCCTGAATCAACAAAAAACACACAAAATCCTTTTTGAAACATCCGGCCTGCATTGATGTAGTTGCAGGAGGCAAAGGCGATGGTTGCCCGGCAGAAGAGCTTATGGCCCCAAAGATAGGATAACTGTTCGCAAATGGGCAGGTCGTCCGCCACCCTGATGGTGTTCATGAGGCTTCCTCCGACCAGGTCAAGTGGCCGAAAACAGTAGAAGTCTGGTAACATCTAGGGTCCATAGGGATATCACAACGATATCTGCAGAAGGATGCAACAGACCGTAAGAAACTAAGCATACAAATCATAACCCAAAAAAGTTATCCAAACCAACCCCTGTCCGGTGCGGGCTCGAGGGCTGGGAGGCCGGCTGGCCTCCACGTTGTCGGAAAATCCTTCTCACAAGGCTTAGTTGCAAAAAGGGCAAGTTGGAGAATGCCGGGGCGCGAAGGGCTGGATCGCGGAAGAATGAGACACGTGGAGACACGTCATACTCTCTGACAATACCGTTATTCTCCCCGACCCATGCGTCTGTGCTACTTGACAATGCCTGCTGAGTTAGCGACCCGGCTAGGGTTTCCCTGACACGTAGTTTCCCCCGACTATTGGAGCAAAGCCTAAGATGATCTACAGAATGTCTGCAGAAGCGCACACAGGACGGGGGTCCAACAGCCTGAGCTTGGAAAAAATTACTGCGCCACGGCCCTCCAACACTGCTCGAGCGCTGCAGCCCATCTTTGCAGCACACAAGCCCCTGGGGAACCCTGCTACACACAGACATTCGTACCTAAACTTGTTCGCGTATACATGCACACATAGAAACAAATGTGTATAGTCGCACTTTCCAAACACCAACATACACCAACAACACCGCTTCCTCACATTGGAACCCTAAAAAAGTACCTTCGGTCGCTCCCCCTCCTGGGCCTTTCATCCGCTACCCACCACGGCAGCCAATTTCCCGAACCCCCACCGCCCCTTCATCGCGCTTCCAAAGAGGGGCCCAATATAGACCCAGTCTCTCATATTCGCAGGACTCCCGAGAAGCACTGGATCTGGAAAACCCTCATATGCAGACACATGCATGCACAGTGAGACTATTGGCTTTCTGCCACTCCTTGGAACAGCCCAGAAAAAGCCTAAGGACGGACCACCCAGCCTTCTGATAAGTTTGAGATGTCAGACATAGCGCGAAGCTTCTTTTCCTCGCCAAGTTGACGTGTTACAGATTTGGAAGTTTGGGGCTTGGCCTTTCTACTCGTAACCATGTGGCTTCATGGCTTGTGCGCTACAAACACCCAGCCAAACTTGCATCCAGAGCGCGGCATGCATCATGTCATCTTTCACTTGAGAGCTCTTCTCAGCACCTGAGCTACTGAACTATGTCCACAGACCCTCTTGAACCCTAGGGGGGGGGGGA